CCGATAGCTGGGGGCTGCCCGGGAGGAGGGAGGGAGCAGCCGGGCCGGTTTGCTGGAGCAGGTAACCGGGGACGCTCACAGCCAGCCGGGTGGATGGATGGCGGTCATCAGCAGCTAGGCTACTCCAGTCTGCATGCACCTGCGTGTTGGGTTTAGCTTTGCATCCAGCATGCCTGGGGCTAGCTTTGGGGGCGTGAAGGGAAATATAGAAAATAAGAGCAAATTGGAAGTGAGAGGGATTGGGTGACCTTTGTGTTTAGCAAGAGAGTAACCCGTGTTAGAGCACGAATGGTATTGCCATGGACTGATGGTGAAAAGTTGCGAAGGCCAGCTGACCCAACTGCTGCTTTCTTTGCTCTTTAGGTGTGTACAGGAGGTTCCCTCGCAACATCAGGAAATCCTTTTTCACTGTGAGGGTGACCAAGCACTGGCACAGGTTGCCCAGGGGAATGTGGAGTGTCAATCCTTGGAGATATTCAAAACCCACCTGGGCATGGTTCTTGGCAGCCTGCTCTAGGTAGTCCTGCTTGAGCAGGGGGGCTGGACCAGTTGACGTCCTGAGGTCCCTGCCAACCTCAGCCCTTTTGTGATCTTGTTTGTGATTAATGACTTACGGGCTAAAGCAGGTCTCGAGCTTTTTTTTTCCCTCTATTTTTTCTTTTCTGATGAGTTTTTTATTCTTTGCTTCCCAAGGGCACACGCACACACACACACACACATATATTTCTTCCTCAAGGTTTTTCTGTTCTCTAGCTTATCCTGAAATCCCCAACTATCCTTCAGCTTCAGTCCCTTGGCTACAGCTGCTTTTTTGAATCATTACTGAAAGCACATGACCAATGTAGTAATTAAATGCACACTCCAAAGTCTGTCCCCATTGTAAATTTGCTGTGTTGGAGTAATGAAGATGCTGTACCCTGTCTGTTTTTCTCCAGAAGTGAAGTTCTAAGTATGGTTTGATCCTCAAAGAAGCCTTGAGTCACAACAGTCCCATTCCTCCATAGCTGACTTTATAAAATTTTTTCCAGTACAGGAAAATTCCCATGGCAGGGGGAGAAAGCCAGCTGCCGAATACTCTCATTTTCACCTTAAAAAATTAAAAATAAAAAAAATCTAAAGGGGTAAAGGATGCTGTTATATTGATTCGTTTCTTGATGCTGTTGCTTTCACTGCTCTTCCTTTCTGCAAATAGCTGACATGTTTTCATCTCTTGTTGCTAAATCAATTTAAGTAGGCTGTAGTCTGCCCTTTCCCAGCAAATGTGCCCCATGGCTGTAATGGGAGAAGGCCTGTACAATAACCTATGCCTGTCCCTTTGTTTGGATCCTGGGGAACAGGATTCCTTGCAACAAGTAAGTTACAGCCTGAGTGAGGCAAACTACCTGTACAGCTGTATGAGCAATGAGCAGTGTATAATTGCAGCACGTATTAATGTTTTTTTTCATCACTGTAATGTTTTGATGTAAAGTCTGCCAGGAGCACAAATCAGTACCTTTTTTGCTATACTGTTTTTTGACTACACAGCAGAGACTTGGTAACCTGCGTACTCTAGCTTCTGTACAAAAATGACAAGACTCTCCTTGGCGTGCAATACTGAGTTGTCAACATATTTTGCTTTCATGTTGGCATGTGTGGTGTGACTTGTCTGGACTGCTTGTTTTACAAGTTCGTATTGTGGTAGTTTTGAGGAGAAAAATCAGTTTAAAACTATCTAAAGAAAGATATCTGTTAAAGTAGTAGTTCTTCTTACCCAGAGCTGTGGTTGGTGTCTGAGCTCCAGCCTTTTACGTGGTGTTGCTATCAAGTTTAAGGTTTTTTTAGAGTCGCGCAGTGCTTGTCTGTTTACCCTTCAGAGTCTTCTCCAGTAGCCCCAGCTGTTGAGTAGGACAGGAGGGAATTTGGGTAGAAGCATTGTTGGTCCCCATGTGCCCGTGCAGTTTTTCGTTCATGTTCTGCATCTGTGAACTGCTGTTCTATTACTGTTTCTTTCAGGTCATTATTACTGAACACAAACAGACCATGCCTCTTCCAGAAACCATGTTTTGTGCTCAGCAAATCAAAATCCCCCCTGAGCTACCTGATATTCTGAAGCAATTTACTAAAGCTGCTGTTAGGACTCAGCCGCATGATGTTTTGCAGTGGGCAGCTGCGTAAGTATGATGTTCACATAATGATGTAGTGCTATGCGTATGGACCCACAAAATCTCACTGCTCTGGTTTGTTGTACGGTGGAGCTGAGTTTGAATATTAAACCAACCTGTATATTGCATACATCCTTCTGTGCATTAATGCAGCATGTGAGCTTTTTAAAAATAGGGTAATACTTGATTTATTTTCTGTTTCATTGAGGTTTAGGACTGTCATATTTCTAGAATAGTTTGATTTCCATTAGAGAAAAATGCATCTTAATTTTTTTGTTATTAATTTCTTTGTCCTGAAAACCAAACTTCTTACTTTTTTGCTTACTTATGTGGGACTTAATTCTTGGAATTTAAAGGAAACCTAGACAATAGTTTTCTAATTCTTAAGCTTGCTTAGGTTTGGGGTTTTTTTGTTTCCAGGAACAAAATTAAGGAGTCTCCTTAAATGTTACTGAAATAGGAAAAGAACCTGAAAAGTTGCAGCCTTTAGGTGATAGTCCATGTGATGGTCTCTCACTGTAAAGTTGATTTAAGTTGTTTAAATATTTCTTCTTTAACTTCTTTTTTTCTTTTACGTCAACTGCTCACTATCATTTTTTCCTGTCCTATGGTTTTTGTGGACAAGCTCTTGAAAGGTATCTGTGAGATGTTCTCAGTTGGACTGAAAAACATCTGTACTGTGTACATGAGGGAGGGGAGGCTGTTAACAAAGCCAGGCTGGAGTCTGGCTTGTCCACTTAAAAAAAAAAACCTGAAGCTGAATTGCTACAGCTGCAGTGTTGGAGAAAATCAGTGGGAACAGCTTAAAATGGTGTGGCATTTCTTAGGAGTGCGATGGAGGCGGGGTGCAGCATACTTCCAGGCAATGGATGTGCAGGGAGCTTGCCCCAACCAAGCAGTCGGTAGCAGCAGCCACCAGGTAGGTTGAGCCTGCTGGGATGTAGGGCTGGTGCGACCAGGGACAGTGGGGCACTGCCATGGCCATGCTGCTGGCCAGACCCTGACCTCTGCTTAAAGATTGCACCAGGTCGGTCAGAGCAGCCCCCACGGATGCTGGGGGCGGGGGCGGTGGCTGCTGCTAATTGAACACCCCTCTTTCTGGAACATGCTCTGGTGTAAGAGCACCTGCAGCAGAGCAAGGTCTGGACCTGGGAGCTACGCGAAGCAGAGCAAGGCTTGTGGTTTCAGACGTGCTGCTGGTGTTGTAGTGCTTGTCCCTGTGAATAATCTGATGGGGAAACGGATCTGGCTGAAAAATAGCTGAGGTGTTATATGCATGTATGTACCATGCATCTATTTCTATACAGTCACACTAATTCAGTTCTGTAGTGCTGCTTGCTGTGCCTTTTGGCAAGTATTTGCACAGCATGGGATAGGCTGGGCATGGACATAGGTGACCAGGGCAGATGAGGGAGGACAAGTGTAGAAACCTTTAAATTAGACCTGCTGAATGAAAACTAAGTTTTCCTTGCATAGTTCAGATTGCTGGCCACTTATGGCAGAGGCGGTTGCTCTTAAGGCTGTTCTAATTCCCTTTCTGCTCTAGTCTTAAACTTTATTTTGGAGTGGACAGAAATGGCAAAAACACTGATGAGAGAGTTGCAGCATAAATAGCCGGTAGTGTGTGAGGGGAATGTTAAACAAATGAGCCCTCAGGTTCTCGTCGATCAAATGGCAAAAGCCTGTGCTTTGGTTTCTGAGCACACACTGATGTTAATAAATCACTCTCTGCCTTTGCAAAGAAGGATTGAGTATATCATGCACAAAATAAGTTAAATGCCTTAAGAGTTACTAGAGCATCGTAAAAAGGAGTGTGTAAAAAGATTGTGGTTTCCACTAAAAAGATAGGTGGTGTCTGTGCACAGGGACATGGGCAGGTGGCTTGCCACGTGCTGCTGCTCCTTCATGGGAGCATGCAGATTCATTCACTGAACAGTAAAAGCATTTACTTCTGTGGAGCTTGTAATGGCTGTGGGCATTGAAGTGCGTTGCTCTTCACATTTGCTTAGGTATTTTTCAGCGTTGTCAAAAGGCGAGCCCCTTCCTGTGAAGGAGAGGATTGAATTGCCTTTAGCAACAGAGAAAACAGAGGCTGGTTTGACTCCAGGACTCCTTAAAATCTTGCATAAACAGGTACAAACCGGCCTTTATCAAATGTACAATGCTGCTGAGGAATGCTGGTGTGTTGGGGATGGCTGGGGAGACTGCCAAGTATTTGATTTATTTTGGGGAGGGACTGTGTTCTTAGTTTCATTCTGTTTTTCAGAGTTCTTATTGCAGTACCATGATTTTGTTTAAAGCTTTCTCCCAAAGGCATGGTGAATGTTGCAGAACTGAAGGAAAAATGGAAGCACTTGTGCTTGCCAGAGGAGCAGCTGAACGCTATCCTGCAGTTGGATGGCTTTGGTGAGGAGGTGGAATGGATGAAGTTTCTGGCACTTGGGTGCAGCGTGCTCGGCAGGGTATGTTCACAGCAGGAGTCCTTGTATCCAAATGCAAACAGTCATATATGATCATATATGAGGTAGACCATAGAACAATTAATGCAAATGGGCTTTGGGGAATAGTGATTGTTTTTGCAGCAGTGGGCAAAGTGGCTTGCGTGTTTACTCCTGTTCCCCATCAGGTTTTGGTGAAGGCAGCTTAACCAGAAAGAGGGCTAAGTTCTTAGTTTACCGGGGTGGCAGCAGAAGAGCAAGCATGTCCACAGGGAGCTTGGACCGTGAGAGAGAGGATGATAGAGGAATGATGCTTATGGCATCAGTGTAAATGTCCGTGGAGGAGAACTGGAGGGAGAAATTAAGCCATCAATTTTTAATTGATTGTGCAGTCAATTAAATTTTCACAGAAGCAGTTAGTGTTACTAAACCTATGTTTAATTCTTTTAAAGTCAGTAATAAAAATCTCAGCAGAGCATTTCAACAGAATGAGAGATTATAAAATGCACTAAGCTGATGTTCTTATGAAGTATAATGCTTTTAATAATTTCTACAGTAGGGAAGAAGGGGTACTAAAAAGACAATATGTCTTAAATAATATTTTGAGTGTTGCAGTATTTGGAAGCTCTGAATGTTGACCTGGCCTGGCGATGCAATTGTGTATATTTATATATGTATTCATTTCCACTGTGTACTACTTGACTCAAATCCACCTCCCAACATGATTTTGTAGTTTGGGCTCTTTTCTTCCTTTTAAAAAAAATAACAGCAACATTACTTATTTAAAAAAAAAAAAATCAAAACAAAACAAAAACAGAGTCACGGGAACATCATTCTGATGGAGCTAGACAGACTAAATTTACCTCCATCTATCCATCCTTTCAGATATTAAGTGAATGATTTGATTTCAGAAACCTAAACTTCAGTTTCCTAAACCAAAGAGGTAAATGCACACAAGACATTTATGTTCATTTCCTGCAGCTGTAAATTGTGTTCATAGTTGAATAGGGTCACAGTTAAGATACAAGAGTAGACAAGCATGAACTTCTTGAGAACACCAGTCATCTGAAGTATCTTTCTGTAAAGCACTGATGTGTTTTTACAGACTTGGAGAAATGACCACACAGCTGGCCTGTTAAATTGTCTTTCAAAGGTGCCGAAATCAGTGTGAATGACTTTGCTGCATTGAGAGAGACAGACAGTGGCAGCTTGGAGAGGCAGAGGCAAGAATGGCAGCAGAGGGGTGGCAAACTGCAGAGGGTAGAGTCTGCCGTCATATAGGCCAGTGCCTCCCCTCCCAGGGGAGGAACTACATTAAGTGAAACCATTAAAGGATTATAAAATGACACTTCTGAGCCAGCAATGTGCCCCAGTCGCCAAAAAGGCCAATGGAATCCTGGGTTGCATAGGGAAGAGTGTGACCAGTAGGTCGAGGGAGGTCATTCTCCCCCTCTACTTGGCACTGGTGAGGCCACAACTGGAATACTGTGTCCAGTTTTGGGCTCCCCAGTTCAAGAGGGACAGGGAACTGCTGGAGAGAGTCCAGCGAAGGGCAACTAAGATGATTGAGGGATTGGAGCATCTCCCTTATGAGGAAAGGCTGAGAGAGCTGGGACTCTTTAGCCTGGAGAAGAGAAGGCTGAGGGGAGACCTTATTATTGCTTACAAATATCTAAAGGGTGGGTTGAAGGAGGATGGAGCCAGACTCTTTTCAGTGGTTCCCAGTGACAGGACGAGGGGCAATGGGCACAAGTTGGAACATAGGAAGTTCCGTTCCAATACACGGAAAGACTTTACGGTTAGGGTGACAGAGCACTGGCACAGGCTGCCCAGGGAGGTTGTGGAGTCCCCTTCTCTGGAGATTTTCAAAGCCCGCCTGGATGCAGTCCTGAGTAATGTGCTCTGGGCAATCCTGCTTTAGCAGGGGAGTTGGACTAGATCATCTCTAGAGGTCCCTTCCAACTCTGAAAATTCTGTGATTCTAGATCTTGAGCAGATACTGCATTTATTTTAAATATTGATGTTCTACCGTTAGGAAATACTTACGTCTTTACAAAGTCATTGCTTGCTTGTTAATGAAAAGTTAAGGATAAATTTTGAAAAAGTTATAGCAAAAATATTACTACTTGGGTTAAAAAAGGCTGTCTGGATTGGGTTTTTTTCTTGTTTTTCTTTGTTGTAATGGCATCCAACCAGTCTTTGACTCAACAAAGCTCAATGCTGAATTTTTCCACACGTTTCCCCATCTAGCTCAGCGTGTGTAGGGCAGTGGATTAGAGACACAGTACTGAATAAAGGATTTTTTTCAAAGTATATTTGGAACTAGTAGTTAGAGGTATGTTTGTTTTTAAGGGAGTTCAGATGTTACTGGGCTTTGACTAAACTGAAATATTCTTGAAATGCTTTTTGCCTCAGTGCTTTTTCTACTACTAAAATGGAACTTGCATACAAATAGGGAAAACAGTAAATATCAGCACTCCTAAAAATTAATACCATATATTACTGTGTCATAATAGAAATCATTAAACTCATATGAATTTTCTGGGGTTTGTAGATTTTTCTGTCTTTGCTGCTGAAAATTCGTTTAGATCCATTGAGATAATAAATACACACACAAACACATATATAGATCAGTAGGTATAGTGATGTTGGAGTAGCAGAACAGAGCAATTTGGCCATATTGGAGATAGGGCTTCAACTATTCTGTGCAATCTTTAAACATCACAGGATTCTGGTATTTTTTACTCCTGTCTCTACTAGACCTTCATTATTGTTTCCATCCCTGGAAGGTAAATTTGGGGTTGATAGCTAGGTAAAATGGTAAAGCCTTTATCTCATTTACACTAAGTTTTAGTGGTTTACAGTGTGGATTTTGTCATGGTATGCAAAGAACATTCATGGCTCTGATACTGTTCCTCTAATTTCTTGACTGAACCCCCTGTAGTCCTTACTGAGTTCAATGAAACATGCCTGCGAAATCTTAACGAGGGACCCAGAAGGTGGAGCAGCTCGCATTCCCTTTGAAACATTCTCGTTCCTTTACTCGTATTTGGCCACTATTGATGGAGAGATACCAGAGGAGAAAACTGAAACATTCCTCCACGGAATTAAAGAACAAGCGTAAGTAAAAAATCCATGCATGGAATTTTAATGTATTGATCACCTCTGGGTTCTCCATAAACCTTTAATTTTGGGTGAATAGTCTGTCTTCACTTTGGGCATAGCCATGATGACAGGAGTAAAGGTTGACTAAGGTTATATCAAAAGCGTACAGTTATTTCTTGATAAGTGGTCAGCCTCAGGGTTTGAACTGTTAAATGATAAATTGTTATTTATCCATCTTTCTTTGAAATATTGAAGACCCTATCTGATGATATAACTTCCCTTGTAGGAAGCAATTATATACATGTTTGTATCATCTGCACATTAGTGGTACTGGATACAGCAGCATCTTACGGGCTGCTCTTTTTGCTCTGGATGCCAGGTGCCCACTAAGCTGCTCTGTCACTCCCCCTCCTCAGCTGGACAGGGGAGAGAAAATGTAACGAAAGGCTTGTGGGTCGAGATAAGGACAGGGACGTCACTCAGCAGTTACTGTCATAGGCAAAACAGACTCAACTTGTGGATATTAGTTTAGTTTAATACCAATCAAATCAGAGTAGGATAATGAGAAATAAAACCAAATCTTAAAACTACCTCCCCACCGTTCTTCCCAGGTTTCACTTGACTCCCGAATTCTCTACCTCCTCCCCCTGAGCGACACAGGGGAATGGGGGTTGCAGTCAATTCATGACATGTTGTCTCTGCTGCTCCTTTCTCCTCAGGGGGAGGACTCCTCACACTCTTCCCCTGCTCCAGCATGGGGTCCCTCCTACGGGAGACAGTCCTCCACAAACTTCTCCAACATGAGTCCTTCCCTTCCCAGACTGCAGTTCTTCACAAACTGCTCTAGCGTGGATCCCCCACAGGGTCACAAGTCCTGCCAGAAAAGCTGCTCCAGCGCGGGCTCCGCTCCCCACAGGTCCACAGGTCCTGCCAGGAGCCTGCTCCAGCACAGGCTTCCCAAGGGGTCACAGCTTCCTTTGGGCATGTCCACCTGCTCTGGTGTGGGGTCATCCACAGGCTGCACGTGGATATCTGCTCCACCGTGGACCTCCATGGGCTGCAGGGGGACAGCCTGCCTCACCATGGTCTTCACCATGCCCTGCAGGGGAATCTCTGCCCTGGCTCCTGGAGCACCTCCTCCCCCTCCTTCGTCACTCACCCTGGTGTCTGCAGAGTTGTTGCTCTCACATATTATAACTCCTCTCTTCAGCTGCTGTTGTGCAGCAGTTCTTTTCCCCTTCTTAAATATGTTATCACAGAGGTGCTACCACCATTGCTGATGGGCTCAGCCTTGGCCAGCAGCATGTCTGTCTTGGAGCCAGCTGGCATTGGCTCTATTGGACATGGGGGAAGCTTCTAGCAGCTTCTCACAGAAGCCACCCCTGTAGAACCCCAGCTACCAAAACCTTGCCACACAAACCCATACACTGTCTTAGATTGCTACCAGCTCCATGTACGTGGGAGCTCAAAAATGCAGGAGCACACAAATGAACTGATTTGTCATTACAGTTACCAGATGGACAATTTTTAGTAAGAACCACTTTTTAATCACATAGCTCTTGCTTGCAATTAATATAACCCTTAGTTGTATCCTGTCCACCACACTAGGATTTACTGTGGTAAAGTGCTGATCTAAAACATTTGGTTTATTCTTTTCCAGGGACCAACAAAGTGGCATGGTGTTGCTCAGAAACTTTCTGACTCAGCCCTCGACACTGTTTTAATCAAGCCTACTCTTCAGCATCAGGTGAGAGGGGGGAAAAAAGAAAAGAATAAATACATGGAAGAAAATAATTTGTGTTCAAAGGACCATTATTTGCAAATTACAACACAAGCAGATCCTCTTCTCTGGCACTTCCTTTTCTTTATCCCACTCTTGAAGGATGTTAATTAAATACATAGTTATACTGTTCTCCTGCCTCTCCGATACCGATGCTCACACCTAGGGAGTGACACCTTCACTCATCTGTTTATACTGAATAAAAGGTATTTTGTTATGAGTCTTCCTATCTGTACTTAAGTCCATTTTACTATTTTTCTTACAATCAGCATTAAATTTAGAGAAGACTAGACAGCTATAATTGGTGCATTTCTCATTATGCTTCTGGTAGCACTGGCTTTTTTTCACTTAAACAAAACCAGCTTGTCTTTTGACTACCTTGTCTGCGTGAACAGGCTCTATTAAACAAATAGTTTTACCAAGCCTTGCTCGAGAGAACTTCATGAGAACCCTGTGGCTGAGCTGCTAGAAGAAACATCAACTCAAGAAACGACTGCAGTGGTTCCATGTGGTTTTCCTCTAATTAGGACCGTTTCAGAACTTATGTATCTTCTTGCATTCTTAGATGGATTTGTCTAATTAAGGCATTTTAAAATGTTTTAATGTTTTAAAATGCATCTTATTTTCTGAAAGGAAGAAATACTCCATTTTCAGGTAGGTGAGGAATGCCTAACACAGAATTCAGTTTGGTTTTGAGTTGAACAGCTGTAGTAGGTACAGAAGTCTAAATCAATCAGAACTAGACTAAGTAGATAGTCACACTTAATTGCAGAAACAATTGAGGTAAGAGATGGGATACTAATGGCTACAGTAGAACTGGAGAGATTCCATTGACAGAGAAGGCCAAAGACAGGAGCACACGCAGTGCCCTCTCCTGGCAACTCGATCAAACAGAATAAAGTATTGCAGAAAAGATGGATCTGCAACCTTGTTCATCGAGGTATCAAGCCCGGCTGATGATGACTGACCTTGCTATAGTAGATTGTGTGAGGAATTAACAGGACTAGAAACTGATATAATACTAATCTCACTGAAGTTAAGTGGAATCACCCTGCACACCTTTAGAACGTACCTGCATGTTTTAAGTCTTACTCTTTTATCAACCTCCAGCACTAATATTTACATGTTAGTCTACAGGATGGGAACTCCTCCTGGTAATTTCTGGAAGGAAATGGGTATGCACCTGGTGCTTAAAAATGGCAAACAGCACCATTACAAGCGTCCTTGGTGCCTCCCCAGTAGTTTCTGTGGACAGCTATGTTCTCATCATCTTTGCCAGATCACATTGATCCTAAATTTCTTTGAGCATGAGCTTGGGAACAGTAACTTTCCTGTTGCTGGCCTTTTACCACTAGCTGCAGTTGAAGATATTTCAGCCTGTTGGGAGAACTCTGAAATCTGCCCTCTCACCTCTGGTACATGCTGTAACTGGGCAGCAAGTGCTGTCTTTGTCGCCTCTGGGAGCAGTGTTCCATAATGTCAGGCGGGAGGGTAGGAGGGGAACTCTCTTCACGCCTTTTCCATTTGTAACTGATCCTAGACTCCAGGGATTAGCTCTGTGCTATATCCACTAACTATAGGCCACAAAGGCAAATTAGTACAGCCTCTCACAGACATCATTCTTCAGCCTTGTCAGCCTAAAATCTAATCGATGAGAGAGATCAATATAACTTATTAATAGATGCATTAGTGTTACAGATTTATACTGCTTCCATCCTGACAAACCTTAACACTACTTCCTTTTTGTCTCCAAGCACAGCTCTGATGCAACACCAACATTTTGTACACAGCATTACTGTCCCTGGCACAACAGCAGTAATGATAGTTCCTGTGCAAGTAATTTTTTGAACAGCTGACAAACAAAATAATCAGGTTCTTGTTTCTACTTTCTTCTTTTATGGCTGTGATATTTGTCTTCATCCCTGAAACGAAACCACAAGCATTGTGTGGGCTGTCAGGCTCAGACTGACAGAATCTGAAGCAAAAAAATATACTTGGAAAAGGGAACGCTGTCATTAAATGTAATCATGTCCTCTTCTAAGGAAAGTAAACTTCTTTAAGACAGTTTATTTCCCATGCTGATTTAATCAAAGCCTTGTCAGGCAGTGCCATAGTGACAATTAGTTTAGGATGAATGGCATCACTGTGTAATGAAGCCAATTTTGAGACAAGCAATCATTGCCCATCTACACACAAGGGAAAATGCAGCATGACAGCCTAAGTCTTTGCTCAAACACAGGTCCCACACGCCTACGGTCTTGCAGAAGCAAATGTGCCCTTGTGGATGGTATCAGAAGGTGTGGCCTAGATTTGTTTTCTTTTGTCTAAAAATGTGGCCAGGACTACTGAAGAGCAACAGCATTGTTTTGAAGCACCTACCATGGAAAATCTAGTCAAGCATGTATGTATGTATTAGTGAAACAAATAATCCTATTTATTAAGTCATTAGAGAAGAAATTAGCATTAGACATGACAAGCACACTTGGTTAAATAGACAGTATGTCCCCCTATGCATATATTGATCAAGAAGTAAAATAATCTGCGACAGTACTGCGCTAATCCTGCAGTGTGCTGGTGAAAGTGTCACCTTTCAGATGTTAGAGTAAATTCTGAAGTCTGGATCGCAGTTTATGATCTCACAGCACCTTTTGTTTTGTATTAGTAGCCTCGTGCCACTGGCTTGTTATACTGTATATGAGATTAGCCTAGCTTTTTAATTGGACTGGGTATTCTAATTCTCTGCGCTAAATTCTCATGGACAATGGCTACAGCTGCCTGATCAGAAGCAGGAGTCAGCTGTCACTATTTATGCTCACCTCTCTCTTTTTCTCCGAGAATCTCTGTCTTTGCCTCTTTCATGACTCCTTTTTCGTTTATTTGGACTCCTGCTGGTCTCTCTCCTGTGTCTGGTGCGTTCAGTATCCTTACAGCTTCCTCCAGACTGCCGTGAGTCCACCGAAGCTGACCGTCTGTCTTCCCTTCTGAAAAAAAGGTTATTGATTTTATTTAATAAAAATTGTGTCACAGTCACTATCGTTTTCAGTACCAGATCTGTAATATAACGACCTACTAACGGTGTAAGACAGAGCACATATCTTTTATTAAACCTATCTACCTAAGAAATACAATACAGCATGGTCAGGGTTGGAAGGGACCTCTAGAGATCATCTAGTCCAACCCCCCTGCCAGAGCAGGGTCGAAAATACCTCCCCCAAAAGCGGCCCAAAGTCCATGCTCTTATATGTGCATGTCTCAGCACACTGTTTAATCCAGTTATTTCTTACAAACATTGCCCCTCAGCCTCATCACCTTTGCTCATGAAACCGGAAACAGTAGGAGGAGTTCACTGTTTTGCTTTAAATCCCTAACACTTCAACCACCTGCCTTAAGCTGCTACCTACAGTTAGAGACCCCACCACGCCTGATCTCCTGTACAGCCTTTTCATTCACCTTCATTTTAATGCTGAAAACAAACACCTCAAGTGTCACCTCGTAGTTTGTTTCAACACCATTGTCACCTCAAAGATCTCCTGAAGAAGCACAAATAGACTATCACTAGGTCATGATTCCATTTTTATTTCAGCAACAAATGTTTGGAAGTGTTGCTTGACACAGGAAGAAATACATATACATAAACCACACTCCCAGTTAGCACAGCAGCATTCACAGTGAGAAGAACTGTAAAGGGTCCCCATATTTAGTAAGTTATGAAAACCTTTTCCTGAGGTATTTTATATCTACCGTAGCTTTTTCTGTCATGTGGTAGGGAAGGGGAAGAAACTGCGTACTTGTATTTTCAAGTGTCCTTCTGACCTCAGCTATCACATATATATGCATTTGGACACAGAGGGAGCACTATTCATTCCCCAACTCCACCAGAAATGACCTTTTCACTTGCAACTTTACCTCCTTACCCCTGAAAGAAAGCTATTAATTTACTTTACCCATCCTTCATGCAGACAGAGCTTCTCAAGCAAGACCTTAACAGAATTAGGATAAAGTAAACTGTGTATGTCTCAGCCAGGGTTGGTATACGTCCTATTAGAAAGAGGTAATAGGATAATGTTACAGGCTGTCAGGCTGCTGCCATCCCTGAGGAATTTGCCAACTGTGACATACCTTCCTGAAGATTTTGACTTCCCTCCTTCACATAGCTCTGCATTATCCAACCTATTCTCCTCCTGCCACTGATTGCTGAGTTCTTCCATATGCACACCAATCACATCCCGAATCACCTGGAAATTAAGATAAATTTAAAAAAACAACAAGAAAAGCAGCATGTCATGGTAGTGGCCCGAACTAGCAAATAGACAGCAGAAGGTAAACATTCCCCCCCCTTCCCCAAATATCCTGCCCAAGCCCTATATATCAGCTGTTTGAATGGAAAGTCTTATTTGCAGAAACACGTATTTTGGCATAAATGTAAATAGCACCATTTTAGACCAGGCAGTCAACTATATCTTGGTGGAATTTTCACATTCAAAATTTAACAGTCAGAAATGCTCCTATTATTTGTAACTTGCTGCAACAAACCAAAGAAAGATTCCTCAATAGTTTGCAACTGTAATAAGGCAGGGTACAAGAAGCGGGACAGACATTTTCTTTGTCTGAAAGGTTATATCATTGTGCAAAACACTATTTTCAGATCTCACCTCAGTGTAAGACTTCTTTGTTATATGAACATTCTTAGCCCGGTATGACTGCCGCCGCCTTTTGTAGTCTCGCATTTCAGCCAGAATTTCAAGATGGGACTTCGGACCTTTCTGACTATCATCTAGCAAAAAAATGGAAGTAAACCAAATAGTCATTAGGAGGACATTAGCACCTGCAGGTATGCAAGTCTGGTGCTTTAGTTAATAGAAGTCTGAAACATAAAATATATTGTGTGTTCTTTCTGAAGTTTCTCCAATATTTATTAACTACTATATATTATGTGTTCTTTCT